AGGGTCACTATGAGTCACAAGCGACTCGACAGCACATAACAACAAACAACTAACAGTTTATAGTTTATAGTTTTGTCTAGGTCTCCATCTAGGGTTAGGGTAAGGTTTAGGGTTAGGGTTAGGTTTAGGGTTAGATCTAGGGGGGTAGCCATAGGTCTTCGTCTAGGTTTAGGGCTAGGGTTAGGGTTAGGTTTAGTGTTAGGGTTAGGGCAAGGGTTAGGGATAGGGCTAGAACTAGTTCTTCTTCTAGGGTATTGGTTAGAGTTAGAGTTAGAATTTGTGTTAGGGTTAGGTTTAATGCTATGGTTTGGTCTAGGGCAAAGCCTAGGTCTCCAGCTAGAGTTGGATTAGAGTTAGAGTTAGGGTTAAGGTTAGGTTTAGGGTTAGGGTTAGAGTTAGGGTTAGGGCTAGGGCTAGACATACGTCTTCTTGTAGGGTTAGGGCTAGGGTTAGGTTTACGGTAGGGTTATGGTTAGGGCCAGGTTTAGGTCTATGGCTAGACCTAGGTCTTCATCAAGAGTTAGGACTAGGGTTAGGGTTAGGGTAGGGTTATGTTTAGGGTTATGGTTAGTGCTACGTTTAGGGCTATGGCTAGAACTAGGTCTTCATCAAGGGTTAGGGTTAGAGTTAGGATTTGTGTTATGGTTAGGTTTAGTGCTATAGTTTGGTCTAGGGCAAATCCTAGGTCTCCATCTAGAGTTGGGTTAGAGTTAGGGTTAGGGTTAGCCTTAGGGTTAAGACTAGGTTTAGGGCTATGGCTAGATCTAGGTCTTAATCAAGGGTTACGGCTTGGGTTAGGGTTAGTGTTAGGGCTAGAGTTAGGATTAGGGTTAGGTTTAGGTTTAGTGCTATGGTTAGGACTAGGGTTAGGTCTAGGTCTCCATTTAGAGTTGGGTTAGAGTTAGGGTTAGGGCTAGGGCTAGACCTAGGGCTTCTTGTAGGGTTAGGGCTAGTGTTAGGGTTAGGTTATGGTTATGGATATGGTTAGTGCCAGGATAAAGGCTATGGCTAGAACTAGGACTTCTTCTAGGATTAGGGTTAGGTTTAAGGTTAGTGTTAGGGTTACAGTTAGGGTTAGGGTTAGGTTTAAGGTTAGTTTTCGGTCTATGGCTAGACCTAGGTCTTCATCCAAGTTTAGGTCTAAGGTTACAGTTAGTCTTGGGGTTAGGGTTAGGGTTAGGGTTAGGGTTAAGATTAGGGCTAAGTTTAGGGCTTGGGCTACAACTAGGTCTCCATCTAGGGTTAGGTTTAGGGCTATTATTAGGATTAGAGTTACGGCTAGGGTTAGGGCTAGTGCTAGACCTACGTCTTCATCTACGTTTATGGTTAGGGTTATGGTTAGGGCTAAATTTAGGGCTTGGACTAGACATAGGTCTACATCCCGGGTTAGGGTTAAGGTTAGGGTAGGGTTGAGGTTAAGGTTAGGGTTAGGGCTTGCGTTCGGTCTAGGGGTAGACTTAGGTCTTCGTCTAGGTTTAGTGTTAGGGTTAGGGTTATGGTTAGGGTTTTGGCTAGGGTTAGGTTTAGGTTTAGTGCTAGACCTACATCTTCGTCTAGGGTTAGGGTTAGTGCTCGGTTTAGTGCTTCGACTAGAACTAATTCTCAGTCTAAGATTCCTCTTCGGGTTAGGGTTAAGGTTCAGCCCAGAGTTAGGATCAGGTTTAGGGTTAGGGCTTGAGCTAGACCTACATCTTCGTCTAGAGTTAGGGCTGGGGTTAGCGTTAGTGTAAGGGTTAGGGTTAGGGATAGGGTTAGGGTTAGGGTTAGGGTTATGGTTAGGTTTAGGGCTAGGGTTAGGCTTAGGCTTATGGTTAATTTTGGGGTTAGGGCTAGGTTTAGGACTAGGTCTAAACCTAGGTCTTTGTCTATGGTTAGGTTTAGGGTTATGGTTAGGGTTATGGCTAGAGTTAGGTTTAGTGTTAGTGCTAAACCTACGTCTTCGTCTAGGGTTAGGGTTAGGGTTAGGGCTAGGTTTAGGGCTTGGACTAGAACTAATTCTCCGTCTAGGATTCCTGTTAGGGTTAGGGTTAGGGTTCAGCTTAGAGTTAGGATTAGGTGTAGGGTTAGGGCATGTGCTAGACCTACGTCTTCGTCTTGGGTTAGGATTAGGGTTAGGGTTAGAGTTAGTATAAGGGTTAGGGTTAGGGATAGGTGTAGGGTTAGAGTTAGGGTTAGGGATAGGGTTAGTGTTGGGTTTAGGGTTAGGGTTAGGTTTAGGGCTTTGTTTAGTTCTAGTGCTAGACCTACATCTTCGTCTAGGGTTAGGGTTAGGGCTACGTTTAGGACTTGGGCTATAACTAGGTTTCCATCTAGGTTTCATTTTAGGGTTAGTGTTAGGGCTAGTGCTAGTGTTAGACCTATGCCTTCGTCTAGGGTTAGGGTTAGGTTTAAGGTTAGGGTTAGGGTTAGGGTTAGGGTTAGAGTTAGGGTTAGGGTTAGAGTTAGGTGTAGGGTAAGAGTTAGGGTTCGGGCTAGGGCTACACCTAGGTCTTCTTATAGAGTTAGGGTGATGGTCAGGGTTAGGGTTAGGGCTAGGATTAGGGCTAGGCCTTGTCCTCGTTCTTCATCTAGTGTTAGAGTTAGGGTTAGGTTTAATGTTTGATAGGTTTAGGGTTAGGATTAGGGGTAGGCCTAGGTTTAGGGCTATTGGTAGACCCACGTCTTTGTCTGGGATTAGGGTGAGGCTTAGAGTTAGGACTAGGGCTTGACCTAGATCTTCCTCTAGTCTTAGGGTTAGGGTTAGGGTTGGGGTTAGGGTTAGGGTTAGGGTTAGGGCTATGTTTAGAGCTAGGGCTAGACCTAGGTCTTCATCTAGGCTTAGGGCTCGGGTCAGGGTTAGGTTTAGGGTTCGATAAGGGCTAGGGCTAGGTCTGCATCTAGTGTTAGGGTTAACGTTAGGGTTAGTGTTAAGGTTAAGATTTGGGCTAGGTTAGGGCTTGGGCTTGACTTGACCTTGGTTTCCATTTATGGTTAGGGTTAGGGTTAGGGCTACGGTTACGGTTAGGGTTAGGGTTAAGATTAGGTTTAGGGTCCGGGCTAGAATTAGGGATAGGGCTCCACCTAGGTCTTCGTCTAAGGTTAGGACTAGGGTTAGGTTTAGGGTTAGGGTTAGGATTAGGGCTAGGTTTCTGTCTAGGGTTATGGTTAGGGTTAGGATTAGGGTTAGGATTCGTGTTAGAGTTAAGGTTAAGATTAACCTTAGGGTTACAAGTATTCTTAGGGCTATGTCTACACCAAGGTCTTGGTCTAAGTTTAGGGTTAGGGTTAGGGTTAGTGTTAGGGCTAGGACTATGCTAGACCTAGGTCTTCATCTAGGGTTAGGGTTAGTGTTAGATTTATGGTTCCGATAAGGGCGAGGGCTAGA